GACGCAGTGTGGACAGCGAACCTGGAGCCTTTTCGAAAATGATGACACAATTTAGTCAGAAATCAGGAGTACCCGGATAGAACCCACACAAACACGGGGAGAACATGCAAACTCCACACAGAAAGACCCCGGCCTGATGGTGGAATTGAATCAGGACCGTCTTGGTGTGAGGCAACAGTGCTAACCACCTTGTTTAGCATTTAAAACGGATTTTGCCATTTTTCAGTCAAAGATTCTCCATTTTGTTTCCAAAAACAGGTTTAAGTGAAAATTCGTGGATGTTAACCAAACCGAAATCATACCCCCTCATACCAGATCATTCACCAGGGATTATTTATCTCTTAGCATCTGCACAAAGACTTTCAAAATAAGTGCTTGTGTGGAAGTTCTCACATTTAGAAATAGCAGGATTGTAAAAACAGTTTGTGTGCACTGTGCCGTGTGACAGTTTTACAAACTTACCATCGTAAGCTGGTTGTATTTGATCATACAGCACTCGCAGTAGCCGCCTCGTTTCTTTTCTCTGTTCTTCTTTCGTCCTTGAGCTCTCTCCTCACTGACTGAGGCTTTCACACCTCTGTTTCAGAGTAGCCCAGAGGATTAGCAAATAAAGCAAATGAAAAAAAAAAAAGTTAGTATTTTGATAAACTCTTCAGGAGTTCATTTAAGACCTCTTGAGCAGCTCCAGCAGTACCATTTACAATTGCATGGTTCAGAACTTTTCAGACCCACAGCTATGATCAGAGATAGCCTTACACCTATCATGGGCATGGTTGTCATGGTATTTTCAGGCTTTTAAGGATTTCCTTGATAATTTTCAGGGTCAAATGATTAAAATACCAGACTTGCCATGACATTCATGCCCATGATGACCTGATATTAGTTTTTGATCAAGTTACATAAGACACATGGGGAAACTGTGACTGCACTCCATAGCATATTTAAAATGTTTAAGCAGCACTCGGTATAAAATTGGTGGGGTTAAAGTGGTGAGAGATTTTTTTAAAAAGGAAGGGGACATACCTTTGTTCCCGCTGTTTGTTTGCAGGAGGATCCTTCTCCTCAGGACAGAACGGACTACAGGGAGCAGTGGTTTTCAGGTTGAACTCAGGCATGTTTGACATTGTGAGGTAGATTGGACGGTAGTGCCTGACAAAAGAGAAGGAAACCATTTAAAAAAAATCACAGGAACAATTTCATGACAGCAGGTGGATGCTGGATTCTTCTGACTGACTTCTTACCTACTTGAATCCTCAACCTTGATGAAAGGTTTACCAATCCGCCCGCCTGGAATACAAAACATAGATCGTTTATTAGCAAAGCAAGGAGAAGAATACCAGCCTGAAGAGGTCAACTAAAATATACCAGCAAAGCTCAGTAATTTGTCTGGGTGGGGTCTACCTTTGCATTTCTCTAGGCCTTGCTTTGCTGCAGAATCAGCTTTGTCCTGTTAGAAACGACAGAAAAAAGTGAACACTTCCAATGTTAAACAAATAACTTAATATAAAGTTGGACTATTTTTCCTAGTATACACTGGAAATTCTCAACTTACACATAATTTGGTCGCAGTGGCTGCAGGAACTGAGCTTTTGATGATCTTTTTTTTCTTATGAACATATGCCATTAAATCTGGAATTGGCACAAATAAATTTAGAAAAGTCACAGGTGTCAAAGCAGAATGAACTTAATATTTCATACAAAGAAGAAAAATTACTTCAACTAAAACAGATACCACACACACAAAAAAAACATACCATCTACATATAGGATTTTCACACCCCACTCCAGGGCGTTTGACAGGATCTTGTTTACTTGAATCCTTTCCTAAAAACAAACAAGTGTGTATTAGCAGAGCAATTAAGAGCCCTCAGTAAGTATCATTCATGCTGACAAAACAAACCTGCTCTTTCACTACTCTCTCCACCAGAAACTTCCCTCGGCTTGTAACAAACTGCAAAACAACAACAGATAATGCAAAAGTATATCAATAACTAGAAAAATGATCTACAGGTTCAGAGAAGAAGTGAGATCAATCCCGGTAAAACAGACACATGATGGTGAACTCACCGTGTCGGTTTGTCCTTGAGATCTGCTCTTGATGTCGCCATGGCTGCCAGGCCGGTGTGGGTTTGAGCAAGGATACGGCGAACTCGGTCCAGAGTCTGGGCTAGGAACAGGAGAGTCCTGTCTGAGGCAGTTCACATATTTAGCCTCCCGCTTGTTAGATACCAGATACTTGATGTCCTTACTGAAGAACTTCTCCACAGTCTGAGCGAAAAGATAAAGAATATAAAATGTTTTGAGAAAAACTCAAGAATAATTATTTGTCTATTCGATTCACAGAGTAAACATGTCCCAGAGCCTTTAAAAGAAAAATATTACTGAATGTCTGGTCATGTTTGTAACCTTACTAGCATTTTCTAGTGATACTACTTCTGAGTGAAATGTATTCAGTTTTGACTTATTTCTCCAGTAAGTACTGGAGTATTTGGTTGGACCTCAGGCTTTAATTTTTCATTACATTAATTCAACAAACTCCTGCAAACAGGTCAATACTGACATGAAGGCATCACACAGTTGCTTCAGATTTATCAGCGTCACATCCGTGATGAAAAACCTTTTCCATCATGTCAAAAACGTGGTTTATTGGATTGAGATTTTGGTGACTGTGGAGCACGTTTGAGTACAGTGAACTCACTGTCATGTTCAAGAAATCAAATGTAGATGATCTGAGCTTTGTGACTAGCCATGTTACCCTGCTGAAAGCAGAAGATGGGTACAATGTGGACATAAAGAGATGGACATGGTCAGCAAGAAGACTGGTCCCAACGTGAGCCAAGAAAATACCCCCTATCCTTACACCACCAACAACAACCTAACCACTGACACAAGGCAGGATGGGGCAATTCTTTCTTGTTGTTGTTGTTTTTTTTCTAAATGAGTTTACCATCCAAATGTTAGAACATAAATCAAGACTCATCAGACCAGGCTTCTTTTTCCAGTCTACTGTCATCCAATTTAAGTAATGCTGTGTGAATTGTAGCTTTAATTGTAGGCATGTGGTGCTCTTTTTTGTGACAGGGGCATCACCCAGTGTGGTCTTTTGTTTCCATAGCCATCTGTTTCAAGGTTTGATGTGATGTACATTGTTTGTTTGTGGCTATTTGAGTTACTGTTACTGATAGCAGCTTGGAGCAGTCTGGCCACTCTCCTCTGACATGAAGAAAACATTTTTGCCCAGAGACCTGCTGCTCACTGGATATTTGCTGCTTGTGTGGGAAAATCCCGTTAGATCAGCAGTTTCTGAAATACTCAGACCAGCCTGTCTGATTAGATATTTGCATGAACAAATAGGTGTACCCAACAGAGTGGCTGGTGTGTATACGCAGCTTCATAGTTCATATGTTAAGCTAGTACAAAAGCAGTGTGACAAAATGCAAGTTTGAGCCAGTGAATATAACCAAATAATGTCTCACCCCTCCAAGCTGTTTGATGTCACTCTCCAAAGTTTCTGCAACTCTGTTTGATGGCAGGTCCAGGTAAAACACTTTTCCAGCAAAAGGCTTGACTTGTGTGGGAACTGATGTACGTTTCGCCTGACTCAGCTTCACCTTGTCACTAGTATGTCCACCTTTTCCTGAATAACATTATAGCACAAGAGAAAGACTTAAATGTTAAACCATTTCACAAGTGATTTTTATCAGACAAGTGAGTTTTACAGCGAGTTTCCCAGACACTGATTAAACATAAACAAAAAGAGAGAGATTGGATTAGGATCTCCAATGACAAACTTGACGCTTAAAGCACGTTTTATATCAAGTTTATCCTTACTTGAATTAGCAGCTAAGTAAACAAACGAACCTATATCAACTGTTTTAACATTCAAGTCAATCTGGTTCAAAAGAGCTTATTTTTAAGAAAAGTAACAATCAAATAACTTCGCAAAAGATCCATTAGCGTTACATTCGTACGTTACGGTGATAGCTGTTCGCTAGTTTGGTTAAATCTACGTTTTAAATTTTAAATGCAAAACACGGAAATAAACGCTACAGGTACCTTGCCAGCTGGGTCCCGGAAGCCTCTGACTGCGTTTTGTCTTCATTTTATTCTCGTTCATCGAGAAAAGGCTGCTTTTCTTCTCCCCTCGTCTTGAGTTAACATACTCCACAAAGGCCTCGTCAGTCCTCTATGTGTAAACAAAAGAAAACGCATATTTGAAAAATTGGACGTAAAATGCAAGGAAACAATCATCTATTACACAGTAATGCGTAAACAAAATGTAACATTAACGTTAGCTGAAGCAGAGTGCTCGCTGTCCCCATGTTAATCAATTTTAATGGTCTTAAATGTAAACTTAACGTACGTTCACAGCCTCCCTCCACAGCGGACACACAGCTTCGCCGATTAGCCTCTTTGCTCACATTTTTATGCAAGTAAATGTCGAAAAACGTCCCTAAACTTCTGTCGGCAGATTTGTTTCTCACAGAATATCCACGGTTATACGGTTTTACAGCTCCTCATCCAGAAATAATAAGCTTTTGCAATGCCATTTGCTTAACGTCCCTTTCCCGCTTTAAATCCGGTGTCGGAGACGGTGTATGTTGCCATGTTTGACGCTTTCCAACTTCGTAACCATTTCCACGTTAAAAGGCGCTATGTTATTGAGTTAGTTTTTAAATTGAACAAATGTAATATTATTTATCTGAAGACTTGTCTTTTATGAACGTTACAGCCGTCCAATTATCGATAGTTTCAAAAACAGAGGTGTTGATGTGAAACGGAATACTCTCCAAACCTGGCAACGCAAAAAATACGTAAACATATTCTTGATGCTTGGATGTGGCGTTTCCCCACTATTATCAAACTAAAGTAAATTATACGAAGACAATTATATCAGTACATTGTATCATTTACAATAACTTTAATGTAGTATACATGCACGTTTAGTGTCATTTTATCTGACGTTACAAAAATAAATACAATTATTAAAGTCAAGGAATGTGCTCAGCTGGAAATTAAATTATGTCATCACTCTCTGTTTGCGTCAGGAACTACCCTGCTGCAATTTCACACGTGTTTATGCTTTCAAAGACTTTAGGACAGCAGGAACTGGCGTAGTAGGAGGATAGTTTAAACCCCGAGAGGAATGTGCGTGTTCACGAAAGACGTCGCTGATTCTGACTGACTTTAGTAGGTAGGTAAGGAGTTAACTGTGCTAGTTAGCTTGCTAAAGTTAGCCAGAGTCCTGTCATGTAATTTTTTTAGGGATCGTAGCCTTGTCATGATTTATTGTGTGAATATTAAATAGGAGCCGTATTAAAAGCAATCAAATGTTTGTCTGTTTGTTTGTTTTCTATGAAGACAGGATGAATAATGAAAGTCCTGCTCCTCCTGCCACCGGCGCCATTACTCCCCTCCAACAGATGGTGGCGTCCTGCTCCGGTGCCATCCTTACGTCGCTGTTTGGTGAGGCACCTACACTTCAGCTTATTACATTACAATAAGCATGCCTTTGTTTATTAACTAACACTCAGCTGGTGGTTTATGAGGTACAACTTGTTATTGTGTTATAAAATTATTTTGATCAATCGGAGGTTTGGAGAAGTTTCCTGAACTGCTGCTTTGTTTGTTTGTTCTCTGATTAAATGAAAATTGTGACAAACATCCTGAACACAGGCAATCATGTTGAGTTGCTTTTTTTTTTTTTTTTTTTACAGTTACACCTCTGGATGTTGTGAAGATCAGGCTACAAGCACAGAAAAATCCCTTTCCCAAAGGTGAAATGAATTTACACTGTGTTGACTGACTGTATTTGTGTTTTAAATTATGTTACATATATCAGACCGTGATACTGCGCATGCAAAAACAAGCATTATTAAAGTAATAATAAAGATCAACTTATTTCCATAGCAGACTTTTTGGAGATATTACAGAGGTAGAAACCATGTGAGGCCCTTAAAAAAGGGTCATTTGTCCCTGTGTTTTAGCATTTGATCTGTCTTTATGTTTATTGTGGCTCCATTATATACTAAACCAGGAGAGTCAAACTAATTTTAGTTAAGGGGCAGTATAAATTGTCACTTTATAAACTTTATAACCTATATGAATCAGGAATGGGATTAGGAAGCAGCTAGAAGAGAGCCTGAGAGGTGGAGGCAGGACAGTCAGAATACATGTGTGTGAATGGAAGGGAGACGGTGTAACAGTGAAGGTGGATGAGTTTAATACCTGCAATGAAACATCCGAAGCTCCAAAACTGCTTTTATATTTCCATACATTTTCATACCCTTGTTGTACTGCTAGCTTCACATTACCACACTAGAAACAGCAGTGAATTTTACTCAATAATTGGTTTAGCCAGTAACAACTTCACCGAAATGTTCGCATTTTGCTGACCTGAACATCCAGCCGGCCTGCGTTTGATGTCACTGTATTAAATGTTGATGTTAATATTTTTCAGGCAAATGCTTTGTCTACTGCAATGGACTTATGGACCACATATGTATATGTGAAAATGGGAATTCCAAGGCCTGGTACAAAGCTCCAGGTCACTTTAGTGGCACGCTGGTAAAATTTTACATCCACATTACAGTTTACCTCTATAATTACCTTCTGCCATGTTTTTTAGTATCGTTTGTGTGTCGTTCTGTCTGTAAACACGATAGCCTTGCTTCATTAAGCCTTGCTTCATTAAGCCTTGCTTCATTAAGCCTTGCTTCATTAAGCCTTACTTCATTAAGCCTTGCTTTGTTAATTGACCTTGGTCAAGGTCAACTTAACGATTTAATGGTCGAAAATTGACAAAAAGCCTTATAACGTAGAATCTGTGACAAGTGTGGTGTGTAGTGGGAACATATAATATAAATATTATATTATTTTTATAAAGATTTTAAATGTAATGTCACATTTGTCCTTTGACCTCTACTCAAGGTCAGCAGATTGAGAAGAAGGCTTTATAGAGCTATTTACCACTATGTTTCCTACTGCCTTTGTTTGGGAGCTTTGGGGATGGAGATTTTACATATCAGGTTACTTTGGACCTATGAACTTTTCCTCAAGATCAAATAAGGTCTAATCTTCATAAAATATCATTTATCTGTAAAACTGTGCTTTAAATTCTGCTGCTTTTGTTTTTATTGGCAAAATGAAGAAATTGTACATGTTCTAAATATCACATTATAGATTTCATCTAAATATTATGGCACATTTGACCTCCGACCTCACTTTTACATTTCACATCTGTCTTTCTTTCAAGTTGACTCCAAAAGGCATTATGTCTTTAAAGAAAGTATTATCAGAGAATGAGCTGTCCAGTTAGTTAGAAATATACTGCAGTGTAATAGATAATAAGCTGAAGTTATTTACAAATCAGTACCTATTATCCATTACCTCCTCTTTCAGAATGGATGCATAATCAAATTATACATCTGTGGATTTTACTGCACTACAAACTTCTTAAAGTAAATTTTAAAAAGAAACAGAAAACAAAATTAATATATACAAAATCCAATAATGTTCCCTTAAAAGTAAATGCTGTGCAGAGAGTGAGCTTCTTGTTCTGTATAATGTTTTAAAGTTAGCAGTCTGACAAGTTAAACTTAGCTTTAGTGGCTGATAGAACTGTTCCTGCTTGTATTAAGTAGAGGTGTTGTAGTACAAAACCTCTGAGTGCCACAGAGCACATCACCCTTCACTGACTCCTAACTCTGAATCTCTGCAGGATGCATTTGTCAACATAGTACGGCGTGAGGGAATCAGGTCATTATGGAGCGGTCTACCTCCAACACTGTGAGTGTAAAGTCTATTTTTTTCTATTTCCTGATTGGGCGCCTCCCCTCCTTTTAATACTGAGTTATTGAGCTGTGGTGGGTCAGTGGTGATTACAGCGGAGTGTTTTCCTTTGATGTGGTATTTATTCATAGTGAGCCACCTCAGAGTTTCTTCAATGATCGTAACCAAATATTTAATTATGTTACGCATCATTAAACAGAACTTTCTTCACAGTTTTTAAATTTAGATGCATTTTTGTGGCTGTCTTTTACCTGCTTAGAAAATTTTATAAGTAAGGCATGATTTATGTACCTTCTGTTATGTGCTTTCTGTTATGTGCCTTCTCCAGTGTGATGGCAGTCCCAGCGACAGTGATCTACTTCACATGTTACGACCAGCTCTGTGCAGCACTGAGGGTCAGGATGGGAGAATATGCTCAGATGGCTCCTCTCCTTGCAGGAGCTACTGCTAGAGGTGAGCTGACTGCTGTCCTACTGCTACTGAAATATGCCATATATTGACAATATTGGCCATATAATGCCTAATAACAGACATCAGCATTTTAACAATGTTGGGGGTCTCAAGGCCAGCCACCCTTACCTTCTGCACCGTGGCCTTGGCTTCCTGATTTTATCCAACAAGCTAGATTTTATTTAGAAAATGTTAGTGTTATTTTTAGTCTAAGTTACAGGCCTGTAAGTGATTATTAAAGTAGAAAAAGAGGCTCAATCATTAAAAGTGCCACAGCAGCATGTTACTTTCACTAACAAATCACTTCATGAACTGCTTTGTCTTCCTCCTCTGTGTGAAAGTGGGTTCGGTGACGGTGATCAGTCCTCTGGAGTTGATCCGCACTAAACTGCAGTCTCAGAAGCAGTCGTACAGGGAGCTGACCCAGTGCATCCGCTCAGCAGTGGCCAAAGAGGGCTGGCTGTCTCTGTGGAGGGGTTTGGGGCCCACGCTTCTCCGAGACGTTCCCTTCTCGGCCATGTACTGGTACAACTACGAGATGGGCAAGAGCTGGCTGTGTGGCTTGTCTAACATCACAGAACCCACGCTGACCATCACCTTTGTATCCGGAGCTGTTTCAGGATCTGTAAGTTAATTTTTCGTCTAAAACTCCACAGAATTCAACTTCCAGCCTGCAGATAAACATATTTGATAGCAAAAAAGCAGAAGTAAACTACAGCGTATCATTTCTTATTTCATTTTTGTCATTTCTTTCAGATTGCATCTATTGTAACTTTGCCTTTTGATGTCGTCAAAACAAGAAAACAGGTGGAGCTTGGAGAGCTGCAAGCAAAGAACTGTAAATCTGCTTAATTTCTTTTAAATTAAAGCTTCTGAAGATAGTAAATGTACATCTGCAGCTGCTTGGGGAGGTTATGTTGATGCTATATGTTCATATTTGTGTTGGCATGGTAAATAACCCAAGTCTGCAGAGTTAAATAAAAGCAACAACGAGCTTTAAAACATTTTACTTCTCATCAAAAAGGCTTCCTCATTCTGTTAAGAGGCCACAACATTTTCATGTGACAGTCGACAAGCATCTCAAGTCAAGCCCTGTGGAGCACTCAAACCTTCTCAGTGCTGATAAGCAACACAAATAAGTGCCTCAAGTGTGTGCTTCCTCCTCTGTGGATGATGGTGATGGCTGCTCCAGCTGTTTGTAGACGCCCCCTTCTCTCCTGTTTCAGACCCCACTCCTCTTTTCAAAGCCTTGCCCTTTAAAGACTGCTGAGTGAGGAACAGGCCCTCCTGCATGTGCTCCTTAAAAACACCATTAAGCCAGTGTGCACCACTCTGTGTAAACATCAAACGGTCTCAATGAAGACGGGTGGCAGAATATCCACTCACAGTGTAGGATAAGATTGTCCTAAACAATTCTAACTCAGAGGAGTTTAGAGAGTGTAACAGCTTCAGATGAACATAGTGATGAAGATATTTCTCAGCTCATCTGTAAGGATGTGATGGAATATGTGAGGCAAAGCTGCTGCCTTTTATTGTTAAACCCACATCTCTTGTGCTCGGTTTTTGGTTGGATGATGCTGTTTGTTGCTAATTGGTGCTCTTGTGTTTGCAGTGCCAGGTCAGGCCTCCTCCACCTTCTATGTGATGTGCAGGATTGTGGCAGAAAACGGGTTTAGAGGGCTGTTTGCTGGTAAGTACTTCACTGACCCTTGACTCAGTGAGTGGCGAGTCTGAGGTAGTCATAAACACTCGCTGTAAAAACAACCTCCACCCTCTTTCAAATCTAAAGCGTTACATTTCAGGACATGATGAAAGTTTTTCACTTCTTGCCAACCTTTACATTTGGTAAATACAACCTCAGATTAACAGCATATTACATACATACCATATTACTGTTTAGTAACTTGTAGAAACACCTTTAGCTGCTGTAACATGAAGTAATAATTTCCTGTATGACTTTAAATACATTTTGGCCCACTCTTCTTTACAATGCTGTTTCCATTAAATGAGCTTTACGAACATTTGCTTATGCACAGCTCTGTTCAGGTCGCGCCACCACATTTCAGTCAGTTTGCGGTCTGGACTTTGACTTCATTTTCTTTTTCAGCCATTTCGTTGTAGATTTGCTGCTGTTCTTAGGTTCAGTCGTCGTGTTGCATGACCCTATTTCAGCTAAAAACTTTGTGGTATACAGGGAGTGAATCTGCATTCACCATCAACATTGCGTGCAGCAGCAACCACAGCCTCCCAGACACTGTTCAGAGAGGTGATTTTTCTTGTAAATCTCACATTTGATGATGGACCACAGGTTCTCAATGGGGTTCAGATCAGGTGAACAAGGTGGCCATGTCATTAGTTTTTCTTCTTTTATACCCTTTCTTGCCAGCCACGCTGTGGAGTACTTGGACGCGTGTGATGGAGCATTGTCCTGCATGAAAATCATGTTTTTCTTGAAGGATGCAGACTTCTTCCTGTACCACTGCTTGAAGAAGGTGTCTTCCAGAAACTGGCAGTAGGACTGGGAGTTGAGCTTGACTCCATCCTCAACCCGAAAAGGCCCCACAAGCTCATCTTTGATGATACCAGCCCAAACCAGTACTCCACCTCCACCTTGCTGGCGTCTGAGTCGGACTGGAGCTCTCTGCCCTTTACCAATCCAGCCACGGGCCCATCCATCTGGCCCATCAAGACTCACTCTCATTTCATCAGTCCATAAAACCTTAGAAAAACCAGTCTTGAGATATTTCTTGGCCCAGTCTTGACGTTTCAGCTTGTGTGTCTTGTTCAGTGGTGGTCGTCTTTCAGCCTTTCTTACCTTGGCCATGTCTCTGAGTATTGCACACCTTGTGCTTTTGGGCACTCCAGTGATGTTGCAGCTCTGAAATATGGCCAAACTGGTGGCAAGTGGCATCTTGGCAGCTGCACGCTTGACTTTTCTCAGTTCATGGGCAGTTATTTTGCGCCTTGGTTTTTCCACACGCTTCTTGCGACCCTGTTGACTATTTTGAATGAAACGCTTGATTGTTCGATGATCACGCTTCAGAAGCTTTGCAATTTTGAGACTGCTGCATCCCTCTGCAAGATATCTCACTATTTTTGACTTTTCTGAGCCTGTCAAGTCCTTCTTTTGACCCATTTTGCCAAAGGAAAGGACGTTGCCTAATAATTATGCACACCTGATATAGGGTGTTGATGTCATTAGACCACACCCCTTCTCATTACAGAGATGCACATCACCTAATATGCTTAATTGGTAGTAGGCTTTCGAGCCTATACAGCTTGGAGTAAGACAACATGCATGAAGAGGATGATGTGGACAAAATACTCATTTGCCTAATAATTCTG